AAAAAGATCGATCAATCTGCCTTTAAATTACTGCAAAGAGATGGAGAGTAATTTCTTTAGAGTCTCTGGTTTTGAAGGCAGGGCTTCTGTTACATTAGTTTATCCAGCTTTTATTTGGGTTGGTTTTTGGGAGATTTGGTTTTTGGGTGGAGTATGTAATGTAGGGGAATGCTAATTTATATAGAGAGAAAGGGGTCTAGAAGGTTATGTGAGTTTTGTTAGATAGAGAGAAAATAAGAAAGAGAAAAAGAGGAGTAGAGAGAAGGTGGGGTGACTGCAATGTAAAATAGAGGTAGAGAGAGACGAGTATTGATGAGAGAGATCTGAATATTGAAGAGAGAGAGAGATAGGGGTATTGGGGAAGATGAATATTGAAGAGAGAGATATGGGAGTTTGGAGACTGGAGTGTACTAACGGTTGATGAGAGAGACAATGGGGGCATGGAAGGGCATCAAAGCTATTGATTTTATTTATGGATGAGAGATGATTGTTGTGCCATGAAGACTTGGGATAATTATCCCACATCGGGAAATCTTAATAACGTGAAGTTCTATAAAAGGAAACCCCTCATGATCAATGCACGTGTTCATGGAAGGAGGCCACTTAATGCTCGGGGTCCACTTGTATAAAAAAATCTTTTCGACCTATGATGGCGTCAGAACGGTACCGACATGTGAGGTGTCCGAACTCATAATAGCGATTCATTTCAAATCATGACATCATCATAGGTGATTCACTCCGAATCATGACGACATGTGAAGTGTCCAAACTCATAATAGCGATTCATTTCGAGTCATGATGAAATGAATCATGATGTCATCATGACGATTCACTGTAGAAAAATGCTTGAATCCTTTTTTATTAGTGGATTCGGTACGATTTGAACAATACCCGATCCAGATCGCCTCGACGATTTTGTAAATACGAGTGGCAAGTATCTTTTGATTGAATATCGACATGTGAGGTGTCCGAACTCATAATAGCGATTCATTTCGAATCATGACATCATCATAGGCGATTCACTCCGAATCATGATGACATGTGACGTGTCCAAACTCATAATAGCGATTCATTTCGAATCATGATGTCATCATGGCGATTCACTCATGAATCATGACGATTCACGTAGAAAAATGCTCGAATCCTGTTTTATTAGTGGATCCAGGATGATCCAAACGATACTTGATCTGGATCGCCTCGACGATTTTTTAAACACGAGTGGCAAGTGTCTTTTAATTGAATACCGACATGTGAGGTGTCCGAACTCATAATAGCGATTCATTTCGAATCATGACATCATCATAGCGATTCACTCCAAATCATGACGACATGTGAGGTGTCCAAACTCATAATAGCGATTCATTTCGAATCATGACATCATCATAGCAATTCACTCATGAATCGTGACGATTCACTGTAGAAAAATGCCCGAATCTTGTTTTATTAGTAGATCCGAGATGATCTAAACGATACCCAATCCGGATAGCCACGACGATTTTTTAAACACGAGTGGCAGGTGTCTTTTAATTGAATAGGTGTGACTCTTAGCGGTAGAATACCTATTTGAGAAAATTATGTACGAACTATATTCGTGGGGGGTCAATTACAAAATGGGAACATGTTCCCAAATTACGGGCGACATCCTTCTTTTCGTCATTTTTTTTTTCAAGTTACTCCTGTCCGATAAGCCGAACAATAGACAATTGAGTTTTTTGCTTTTAAACGAAAAGGAAGTGTCCGGGGTTCGAAACGCCGGACCGCATTTTTAAGTTTTTTTAAGGTTAAAGTTTGCTGTCATATCTTCTTTCTCTCTCTCTCTCTAACTTCAACTCCACTTCGTTCCCTCCTTTTCTTCTTCTACCACTCAAACTACAAACACACACATCCACCTCCCCACTTCTCGTCTCTCTTCTCTCTCTCTCTCTCTCTCTCTCTCTCTCTCTCTCGCTCTCTCTCTCTCTCGCTGCAACTCCGCTTAGCCACCACCATCTTTAAGGAGATGAAAGTGTCAAACTTACGATAGCTTGCTTGTTAGGAGATGAAGGTTTGGATGGAGGGGCCGTTGCTTCCATTCTCTAAATTCACAGATTTCTTCACAGTGGAAGGCCCCCATTTCTGGTGAGTACTGAGTTTCCACAATTTCTTCACAGTTTCCATTCTCTAGGAAATCTCTCTAGGAATGCATCGCTCCCTGTATCTCCTTGCTCTTTACAATTTCTCTATTTTCTATGGATTTCTCTGATCTCTCTATTCTCTAGTTTATGTTCTCTCTCTAGAATTGTTCTGGTTCCTCTCTCTATCAATCTATCGCTTTGTCTGAAGCCTTTTGCCCCTC